ATTATTATTATTAAGTCAGGTCACAGAAACTTGGGCGTTTCTTCTCAACCATTTTCTGACTTCCTCTCTTCATTCCTTCTTCTCTTCCTCCTCAGGTTCATGCTCATGTCAGGTTTAGTTTTCTTCATGTCCGCGTTTCACATGTTCCCGTTCATGTTCTAATTATCATAGTTATTCCTAGTTTCAGCTTCAGTTCTCGCCCCCTGTTCGCCTTGCTTTGTTTTTGTCTTCATGTTTTTCAGCCAAATAAACGTCTCGCTTTTTGTCAAGCTTAGTTTTCTCTTGTGTCTTGAGTCCCTTCATCAAACACACCGGCTGCGCGACCATGACAAGTCAGCCTTTCAGATTGATTAAAAGTCTCAGAGTTTGGTGATGCTCAGGAGAGCGAGCGATGTTCTTTAAAAACCTGCCGTATTAAAAACACAGCAGACTTTCAGAGAAACCGCAGCTTTGCATGAGCACACACACACTGATAACAGGTGACTGACAGGTATGTTGTTACCGTGACCAGCCAAATTTTCCCTGAGTTGACTGAAGTGCATCATGGGAAAAAGAAAAACAAACATCTTTCATCATCTCCCCATTTTTGCTGGTTTGCTCGCCCGTTTTCAGTCAGCGCATAAAAGGACGATTCATCTGCATCTGAATGGAGATTAACTCTGTGTGTGTGTGTGTGTGTGTGTGTGTGTGTGTGTGTGTGAGAAGCAGCTTTGTCTAAAACCACATTGATGTTCACACACTCAGCAGTAGGTAGCTTGGTTCTGTTTGAAGTGTCTAGGGCTAATTTTCTGACTTCCTCTCTTCATTCTTTCTTCTCCTCCTCTTCCTCCTCTTCTAATCCCATTTATTTATTTATTTTCCAACCTCCTCTATTATCCTCCATCCACACTCCCAGTTTTCTATTAAAGTTAAATTTGGGATAAATGTGTCAGAATGACCAAGTGCAGACCAGAACGAGTCCAGGGTTCCCACTCAAACAGAGCTCACAGGTGTGGCATCTGAAAGTTGACTGAAAGCAGGACAGATCAATTTGACTTGAATGGGTGCAGGGATTTGTGGCTGTAGCTGGTGGCAGGCGGAGGACATCAGAGGTGAAGGGAGCTGTCATGCTGAAAGAAGACGTGAGTCAAGCTCACCTTATTTTCCGCACTATAGGGCGCACTTAAAATCTTTTAATTTTCTCAAAAATAGACAGTGCGCCTTATGCATGAGTTCTGGTTGTGCTCACTGACCTTGAAACGGTTTTATGTGCTACACAGCGCTCAAAAATCAACTTTGGTAGCTACGTAGCCGCAGCGCTGATCGATTGTCGGAGCGTTACGGCTACAGTAGTCAGAAGTCTCACAAAGGAATCTGGGTCCTAAACTCCGTCACCTTCAGGTCCCAAAGTCACACAAACACTGCAGCATCACTGAGAGTTAAAAACTGTCTAAATTCTTTCATCTGTAATAAAACAATCAGCGTTGCTGTTCTACCAGGTGTAACAATGAAGTTTAACATCCAGACATCCATGAAAACAGAAGTTATGAACAGAGTTAGAAGTTAGCAGGAAGTTAGCTCGCTAGCTTCCACCTAAACATGATATAGCATGTTCTGACTGAGATTTCTAAGGTAGTTTAAAAAATCTCCGTTGGGGAGGATAAAGTTTCTCAAGGCTCTGGATTAGTGGGTCTGTCCTGGCTGGTACAACTCTGCTTTAAGTCGAGGAGGGTGGATCCGCACAGGCAGACTCGAG